GAAAGGGAACAAGAAAGAGAGGAAGGGAAAAGCGAAAGCGAAAGCAGAAGGCGAGGAAGGAAAAGGAAAGATAAAGTGAAAGTGAAGATGGAGGAGAGGAAAGAGAATGAAAGTAAAGGGAGGGGGGAGGGAAGGGGGAAAAAATGAAAGTGAAAATGAACATGCTTCCGGGATCTTGTCCGTCCTTACCTTACGCCCGAGCAAACACAGACGCTGGCCCAAGAGTCGGGGTACCCTCGGATGCTACCCCGATAACAGCAGTTGCCCTAATAAAAAAAAAAACGACCAAACAAACCAGAGCAAAGGGCTTAGATCTTAATTCGTCTGAAACAAACCACAACATTCCTCTTTTGCACGCTATAAAATATACACAAGCCAGCGTTTCACCGATGGAATCCAGGCTTGTTCAGGGCACAACAGAGGGAACGGGTAAGCCAAGGTTTAACCTCCAGGTCTGCTGAATGCTACCTCCCATCAGAATAAGGAAATGGGGATTGGGGGGGCGTCAGCTGTGACCCCCCCACATCTTCAGAGGGGTACCCAAACTCATTTTTGCAACATCCCCATGGGGGCATTTTATGTTAAAACGTCTTCGGTAGATCCGTTCAACAAATGGTTCCATATTTGGGCTTGTTCGAGACAACTCAATTGGGTCCCAGGTAGAGGCGAATCTTTGCTCCTGCTTTGGAGCAGGGGGTTGGGCTAGATGGCTCCCAAGGTCCCTCCCGACTCTGTTCTTCTACGTTCTCTGTTCATTCCACTGAAGGCTGATCACTGGCATGTAAAACCCAGAAAATAAAACTGTGGGCCTTACCGCCGAGTCGGTGGGATGCACCGTTCTCGTCCCGTTTGGGAGATAGTAGGTTAACCCCGAGCTGCCCGTCATCAGCTCTCTGCGAAGGAAAAAAATAACAAAAACAAACCAACATTCAACAGAAATGCCATCACAACAAGCTATGTTGGGTCTTTGGCTCAGCTGGGCCTCTCCAGAATCTGTTCCTCTTTCCGGCACGCTGCGAAGAAACTTCGCGTGCAAGAAAGGCGGTTTATTTTATTTATTTTTTAAATAAAAATACCGCTTTTATCACCTTCAAACTCCTAGTTCTTCCTCCAGGGTGTTTTAAGACCGACTGTTCCTGCCTAGGGAAGCTCTACTGAATGCTCAGGGCTGAAGTCTTCCCAGTGCATTAGGGCCTTAGGCTTTCCTGGGGCTTTCTCTTTTTCTTTAAAAAAAAAAAAAGCAAATCTGAATTTATATTTGCATATCGAACCCCCAAATCAGAGGGGACCCTTGAGGTCATCCAGTCTGACCCCCCCTCCCCTCTCCTCCAAGATCAAGGCACGGTCTCCCCGTTCGAGGCACCAACAACAACTTCGATTCGGCTGATGGGATTGCAACCATTTGGGGGGGGGGGAACCCTTCTCTTAGGACTTCGGGGACCCCTTCCAACCGGGAAACCCCCAACACTCTGGCAACACCGCTGCCACACACACACACATGCCTGCCGCCTCACCGATTCTGTGCCAAATCCACGAGGAGACCCTCCCCTTCCACCTCCAGAGCCAGTTGCAAGCGAGGAGGGAATCCGTGGGGATCCTTTAAAAGAAAAGGAAAAAAAAAAGAATTGGGTGGGTGGGAAATAAGGAGGGGACCTCCCGTTTTGGAGCAGGGAGCTCGGGAGGCCATACAAACCACCCCTTGCCCGCTTTCCCCTCCGCCTCCTGGGTTGGGGGCTGCCGGCGTGCTTCAGAAGGTGTCTGCCACACATCCCTTCCGTGCCGCACCCAGGGTTTTCCTGCCCTATAGTAATAGGCGGAAATGTGTCCGTCCCCCGTCCCCCGGCGTCCCCCGTCCCCCCCCCCCGTCATCCATGGCACTGGGGGTGGGGGCACAGAGGAGGCGGGGCGGGGTGAGGCAGAGGAGATGAGCTCATCCAACCGGCTCAACCACCGGCGGCTGCCCAAACAGGCTGGTGGTGCGATTGAACGCCTTGCTCAAAGCAAACCGACTTTTTTCGGGGTTGGGGGGTGTGTGGGAAGCGCCTTACCGACGGCAACTCGAGGGGCACGATTCTCGGGGTGACCAGCCACGAACACAGGCCAAGTGGAGGGCGCCAGGGTGGGAGGGGTGGACCGGAAGCATCTGCAAAGAGGGAAACGTTGGTTTTAATGGG